TAACTCCAGATAGGAGGAAGGTCAAGATTTTGTACTGAATAGTTCAGTCAGTTCTTCCTGAAGTTTTACTGAAGCCACAGGAGGCTTATACTACAGTTCAAAGTGTTTTCAAATCATCTGCATTTGTGTATAAATGCAGAAGCCACGTAAAAAGTCTCCTAAATGATACGGGAATTCTCCATTTCTACATGAAAGCATACTGTCCCTCCAACTACACTTAGGCCCAGAGGCTTAAATAAAATCCTTTTCAGATTATTGTTAATGCTGTGCCTGATTCTGCAGCAGCTGTTGCTTTTGAACAATATGATGCTTCTCCTCCCCCAAGAAAAGTTGAAATGCCTCTTTTGCAGCACTTTCAACCTTTGTTGACTAAGGAAGCATAAAATAGACTGAGAAATGATCACAAGGTTTCTGTTTGGGAATTCAGTGCACAACTTAAAAACTATTGAGTTTAGCCACTTCCTGACATTGACTTTCATAGCAACAGTTTAATTTGGAGAAAAGCTGCTACCTCAAATGGCCAAAAGTATTTATGTGGAAAATTTTCCAAATGATTGACTTCACTGTGTTGCTGTTTTCTTTCTCCATGAATATGTGAGTATTTGGCTTTCTCCCAAGAGTTTTTCTGCATCACTTCTCTTTAGGCAAAGACATTTTTTCTATCCAGAGCAGAAAAAAAGAAGCATAAAGAGTTTCCCATTTTTAATTGAAGAGTTGTTTGAGGTTAAGCTATTGCATCTGCAAAAATGAAGAATTTCAATGTGTCTTCTATCCTTAAATTTTCCAGTGCAAATCTTCAAGGTCATTAGAGTATGAGCATCACCTTGGAGCCAGAACCTCTGTGGTCAGCCCAGTGCTTCCTACAGCACAATCTTGTGTATCTGCTCCCCGCTTATATCAATCCTACTGAAGGGCTTGTCTCCACTGCCTCTCTTACTTCCTTACTCCCACTGATTCTTCAGCCACCACTCTACAGACTGCCATGTCAATGACAGTTTAACCCAATAATTATTTCTAGACTATTTCTATAGCATTTGACGTTGTTGATACCATTTTTCTTACTTTTTAGGAACATTTATCCTCCTGTTCTTCCAAATAGTTCCCTCTCTGTTCCTTTCTAAAGTGTTGTTTCCTTAGGAATTAATTCTGTGCCTACTTTTCTGACCCACGGTTCTCATTCCTGATGCTGGCATTTTCCCCATGACTTCAATTCCATTTTGTTGATGAAGATTTGCCATCTATCCCTCCAGTCCTGCTCTAGTGAAGGCATTTCTTTCTGTGTCTAAAATGAACATAGTTCCTTCTTTTCCTTGTTTTTAAGTTCCCAGTTTTAGGGAGGATCAACATTTTCCACTGTGCAAGAAAGAATCCTTAAGTTCTTCCTCTATCAAATAAACTAAACTTTTTCTATTTTCAAAAAATTTTCTTTACATCTTTAAAATCCAGGTCTGTTTCAGCCTCCTACCAGTTCCCCCCTTTTGCTGTAGATCAGAAAACTGTCAACTTCTATCTGGATAACTCTCTCATGCCTCCTTACTATCCATCTCCATATTGCAAGACAGATTTGCTCTAATCGTTACATTTCCCTGATCAAAGGCCCTTATGCTTGTAAAGTGCCCAGAACCCAGCCCCTCTTGCCTCTCCAGCCTGAATTCTTGGCACCTGTCATCTTGTATTGCTCAATTTTGGTCACACTAAATTTTGTTCAGTTCTTCAAGCTTACCATACTCTCTTGCCTCTAGGCTTTCACCTCTATTTTTTTTCTGCCTGGTACCCTTCTTTCTATTCTCCCCCCACCCCCGTGAGGAATATTTTATTTTATTTACGTCTCAAGGGCTCTTCTTCTAAGATGCTCCTCCAGATGCCCCAAAGACTGGAAAAGATGCCTCTCCCAATGGCCCCTGCCCCATTCATTGTTCCACACATCACAAGCCCTGCTGTATTATAATTGTGTAGGTCTCTGCAGCTCCTGTTAGATTGCTAGTCCTGTGAGGAGAGGAGCCCATCTCCTGTGTTGCCAGTGCACTACAAGTGCCTAGCACAGCACTGGATGCCTGGCAGGCACTCAGCTTAATAAATATCTGTTAAATGAACAAATGAGCCTCCAGGTAAACTGTGAGTCAGCCTTCCCCATGACACAGGTATAAATGCCTTAATCTCATTTGTAGTTTCTTCCTCACTAGTCAAGATCCCCTGGCAGGAACAACCATTACTTTTCCACAAAACAGACAAAAACTTTGTTGCAGACGAAGCAACCTATATATCCCTCAGGAAGAGAAACTTTCCAAAGGTTTCAAGAATTAGCATATGGTAATTGCTAAATCCCAAGGTATCTTTTAATTGAACCTTCACAGTCATTCACTTAGCTTGTACTCAGTGCTTAAATTGAGTAGAACCTCATTAGGGAGGTTATGTCATGCCTTGGTGAAAATGGAGAAAATGAAAAATACAGCTTTTCATGACATGGAGGCATCAGGAAAGGGAGAGGTCTGGTCTGTGGTCCTTTAATCTGTGTCTTGACTGAACTATCTCCTGATATGGGTGGGGGTCTGGAAGATCATGACCCTCCACTTAGGATTTTCCTTCTAAATCCTATGCTAGATTTGTATTCAACAAATCTCCATTGAGTGTTTTCCTTCTTCTTCTCCCTTTGCTTCTCTGTCAGTGACAGTTTCATGAGCAACAGTTTTAAGGATTATTCCTCCCCAGGAATATATCTTTCCAAGGAAACTATGTGATGTCAGGTTCAGTCACAGTACTTCCCCGCACCTGTCTATTTTGCATATCCATTAATTGTGTTCTTGCAACCCTGAGCCCTTCCCATGAGACCAGGATGAGGCAAATGAGGTGCCACTCTCAAGCACTTGCACCTGCTTCCTCTGTCTAAGAAGTGGCCTTCTTCTGCCCTCACCCCTCAGTGCTTCTCCAGTTCCTCATCTTTGAGATCCAGCTCAAATGCTGTCCCCTCCATGAAGATCTTGTTGACACCTATCCATTATTCTCAGAACCCTGCAAGTGGTCATCTTACTTTCCTCCAAATTCCCAATGGACCTTATTTGTAACCTATCTTAAAGTCCTGTGTGCCTTGTTTGTACGCTTATCTTCTTGTCTCTGTGTTAAACTATAAACTTAAGAACAGAATCTTTTTTCTCAGCATGACCATGCTATCTGGCACAGGATATGGCACACAGTAGTTATTCATAAGTCATTGTGGTGGGTGGAGAAATCAAGGGGAGAGAAGAGGAGGAGAACATAGTAATTGCCTGGGGGTTCAAGGGTGAGGAGTAAGCTTGGGATCTGAGACCAGTTGTTAAGGGTTTGATTTCTGGCTCTGCCATTTACTGGGTATGAGAGTTTAGACAAGTTACATCATTTGTCTGTGCTTCCATCTATTTATCTGTAAAATGTTATATAATGGTACTACAATATATAATTGTTGCAAAGACTCAATAAGATAAAGCATAAAGCACTTGGCCTAAGACCTGAAGGGTAGCCAGTACTCAATAAATGTCAGAACCCAGAATAAAAAGGCTCTAGTGAAGATAGCACCATAGAAATGCAGGAGTACACACTAAGGGCAAAGGACATTTGTGACTGATGTCCCAAATAAATCAGAAACAAAACCATCAAGGACTGACGACAGAGTGATGTGAGGTATCCCTCAAAAGCTCATGTGTGAGGTGATGCAAAAAGGCTGAGAGGTGTAATGATTGAGTTAGGAGAGCCTTAACCCAACCAGTGCATTAATCTCTAATAGGGATTAATGGAGTGGTGATTGTAGGCAGGTAGGGTGTTGCTGGAGGTGGGCATTGGGGACATGACTTTGGGATATATATTTTGTGTCTGGCAAGTGGAGTCTCTCTCTCTCTCCCTCTCCCCCCCCCCCTCTCTCTCTGCTTCCTGATGTGATGTCTTGAGCTGCTTTCCTTTGCCACAATCTTCAGCCATGATGTTCTGGCTCGCCTCAGGCCTCCAGAAATGGAGCCAGCTCTCCATTCCTGAGACCTCTGAAACTATGAGCCCTCAAATAAACTTTTCCTCCTCTAAAATTGTTTGTGTCAGGTCTTTTAGTCGCAGCAGCAAAAAAAGCTGACTAAACCACAGAGCAATGGCCTAATACTACCCACAGAATTCAGGTACTCACTTTTTCAAAAAGATGAGTCTCATCTCTGTAATTCAGTAGAAGAAATGTTTGAGCAAGAAGATGGCAAAGGAGGCTGCCCCAAAGCGGGAAGCAGAGGATGACCAAATGACTTTGTGGCATTAAACCAGTATTCAAATGTGTCCTGATTTAATATCTGATTACATGAAGGGGGTGGAAATATAATGCTAAGGGAAAGTCATGTTTTTGCTGCCATCTACAGATGTCAAAGTGCAATTTTTTAAGTTTCCTAACACACCATTCAGAAAGGGCATTTTGACAAAATGAGTGACAATGTATATTAAATTTAGTTTAAGTTTCAGTAAGCAAAATAATTTACACACATTACTATAGCAATTTATTTTACTTTTCTTTCTAAAACCCTGCATATTTAATCAGTAGGATAGTCTTTTTAACATCTCAAATTGTGTTAAAATGTTATAGAAACTCAGATGTGAGCCTGTCATCATCTCAGGGAAGATCAGCTGCAACAGCTGCAGTTGAAGGTAATGAAATGGTTTCAATGAGGAACAAAGTGAACTGGATTTTACCTCATGTTTTCCTGGATTTCTCTGGTTATTATTAGAATCATTATAAATTTCACATGCTGTCTTTTGTTCTTAGGAGATGAGAAATCAATCGCAGAGTAAAATAAAAACATGAGAATGATGTCACCTCTGAGAAGCCTCTGCACCTCTGTTCTCCAGAGTTACTGTGATGCTTCCCCGTCATTCCTGTGTGCTATTTTTATTTTGTAATTTTTTTATTAGTGCAAAATAATTATACATAATAGTGGGAGTTGTTATGAAATATTCATGCATGCACATAATTTCATCAATTTCCTGTATTATTTTTAAAGGGTTAAATATAGACAACAATTATTGGAAAAGCATTTGATGGAGAAAAAGGAAGTGGCCCTTCAAGAAGTACATGAAGAAGAGGAGAGAGAGAGGCGCCTAGAAGCCCTTAGAAAACAGGTGCTTTTAATTTGAAAATTTTCATGGGTGTTTTTTTTTTTATATGTTTCTAACTGCTCTTAATTACATTATTACTAGGACTTAGTTCATGACATCTGCTTTATCAAACATAACTTTTCCAAATTGGGACACTGATCTTCATTCCAGGGAGCAATTAGATTTACGTTGAACCATTTCCATTTTCTCAGTATATTGAAAGAACTTCATCAGCACCTTTTAAAAAGCTTTCCCAGAATTTAAAAGCATCCATATCACCTCTAGTTTATTAGGTGAATAGTACCCATTTGCAACAGTGAAACTTCATCTACTCAAAGGATTTTATTGTCCTCAAAAAAGTGGGTAGAGCAAGATAATCTTCTTTGGGGTAGGAACCTTTGCTTGGAAATATTCCACCGTCAACAAATAAGTTAAAAGCCATTTTTTTTTTGAAAATACATTTTTTTGTGTGTGTGGAGAAATAAAAACCTCCCATTACTTTGTATAATAAAAACTAAGCAAAAGTAAATGAAAGTAAACAGTAGATGGAAAGAGCAGAAATATAAGAACTTGGGAAATGTGATAAAAAAGTTTTACTTAGTAATTCTCAGAAATTTAAACCTAAAATGATTGTTTTAATGCATAAGCTCTACATTCTTTGTTGACACTATGTTCTAGCTACCAGGGGAGGTGTCTGGTTCCTCTTTGCTGTCAGTAAGGTAATACAGAATAATGGGTAGGAACTTGCCCTCTGGTGCCCTTCTGACCTAGGACAACTTGGGTTGGGACTCTGGCAGAGGATACTAAGGTCATTTACTTAATCTCCCTCGGCTCCCATATCCTCATCTGAAAAATGGAAATAATAGTACCTGCTTTATAGATTTGTAGTAATGTGAGTTCAAATTTGTTAACAAATTTACTAAGTGTAAAACCCTTTTCCAAAAACTCTTATGTGCCACTTGGTTGAACCTCTACAGATTAAATGATATAGCTACTATTAATATCCCCATTCTACAGAAGAAGAAACTGAGGAGATGAAAAGGCTAGGTGCTTTTTCCAAAATCATAAGTGTAGTAAATATCAAATAGGGTTGAAATCAACAAGATCTAGTTAAGTGACAAGGTAGAGATATAGTGTAAACCCACAAAAGTCTTAAATCATCATTTTCCTTGATAAAATAGGTTAGAGAGAGAAATTCAAAGCATAGGAATGTAAGCCCTGGTCATTCTGGATCTGACAAATTCAAATTTTCAATTATTAGCAGATAATATAGTCTTCTGGGGTCAAGACTCAAAGTTACTACTACTAAACACATTCTGTATACAAAATACAACTTTGATAACTACAGGTTCCACGTGACTAGAATTTCTTCCATCTGTGAGCCCTTTGAAAACAGAAATATCTATGCCCATTAAATGTAATCACTGTTGAGGCTGGGGTTGTGGCTCAGTGGTAGAGGCTCTCCTAGCATGCATGAGGCACTGGGTTTGATCCTCAGCACCACATAAATGTAAAATAAAGATATTGTGTCCACCTAAAGCTAAAAAATAAGTATTTTTTAAAAAATATAAAAAGTGTTTAGAATTATAAGATATTTTAGCTAGGAAATCTATAATAATTAAAGTATGTTTAATCTTATTTCATTACAGTTTCTAAATGGCACTAAAAATGCCATTTGCTTAATGCTAATTTTTAACTTTCAGAATTAACAGGCAGGTATTACTAATGGTGCATGTAATTTACAAAATTAGTGACTTCTTTTTATTAAGATGTGGTTTTGAATTATCATGCAGAAGGACATTTATGTTAAAATAACTCTTGCAGTTTTTGAGTAGAAGGAAGAAAATGTTTTCTAGCAGTTTCTGGGCATCTTAGGAGCCTGATACAGTAGAATTCACCCATCTCGCCCAATATTACCAACACACTTGACTGGGTATATGCTCTAGATTCAGCTTAATTAGATTAAACTTTCTTAAAGACTTCATGCTATTGTTACTATAGGAATAAGTTGCTATCAGTTAAAAATAAATATTCTTTTCACTTTTGGTTGTGTTCAAGGTATTTGTGTAGGTTTTCTATGTAGAATTTCCTATGACTTTCATCAGAAAGATGAATTAATTATCTGAAATGAATCATAATTATAATTATTTAATCATTAGCAAATATATATATCTATCTCATGGTCTTTCTATATTTTGCTTTATGTAAATTTTAATTCCTCTGTGGACCTCTAGGACCAGCCTGGTTTTAATGTTCTTTCTGGCCCTTCAGGAATTAGGTTTAGTAAAATTTCTTAACTTTAATAAGCATTAAACATTTATAACATATTTAGCTTATATCTTATTCCAATTGGCCTGCCTTCTCTTCTTTCAGGTTGCTGTTGTTGCTCAATTTGATCCTGTTAGAATGATGTCGGATACAATGGCATCAAAAGCTAGAATGGCTGTTGAAATTGAAGAAGAGTTTATTCTTCAAAAGCCCCTCTTTACATTAAATACTTACAATGAACAGCAGGTAATTATGGAATTTAGCATAGTTGATGCAAAAGCCATGATGATGATAAGAACTGCAAAGTGTGTGTTTGGGATTACAAATTGTTTTCAATATTTACATTTGAATAGTACACATATTAACATAATATTTACATCTAAATGATAGCATATAATTACTGCATAATTCTAATATTAAAATAACTAATAGGTGACCATAAATGAAACAACTTACCTGAAAATGTTATAGATTTGTAATTGAAAATTAGTTTTTACATTTAACAACTAACTTTATAAAGTTTCATTTGAAAGTCATGTTAATATTATTTTGTTTAAATATTTCTATGTTGCATTAAGAATTTAGAAACAAATTCATAACATAAATTTTATAAGTAAACAACCAATGATACTGATGAGACAAAGAAGAAAGCTTTCAGAAATTAAAATGAACAGAAGATAATTCATCAGAGCTAATTGATAAATAAAATATTTTCTGTAGAAAAACCATTGAGGAATTATTTAACCATTTCTAGGAACTTTGGAATTTTAGTCTGTGCCTGAAAGGGGTTGAAGTTGGAGAGTGGGAGGAAGTTAGAGAGTAGAAGTGAATACAACTGAAATTCAGGGAGAGAGTAGTTGTTAACTTCAAAAATCTAAGGAGAAAAGATAACTACTTATTTAATTATTTAAAAACTAGGAAACATCATCCATTATCAAATGAATCCACTGTGCCTTGACTGTGTGCTGCATACTTTGCTAGAGAATAAAAACAAGGATAATTCATTGATTTACTAGTTGGACAAATATTTATGGAACAGACTATTTTCTGGTTCTGTGCAAGATGTAGCTCTGAGCTACATCTTGAAAAGATAGATTGTGCCTGCAGGAAGTCAGCAGAAGCCCTAGTTAGGAGGGAAAGTGCGGGTGCAGAAATCATGCCATGAGGGTGAGATCAGCTCTACAGTGGAGGCCTGAGGGTTACTGCAGCAAGAGAAGGAAGGAGCATTTCACCCTGACTGGGAGGTTGGAGAACGTGTCAGAGAGAAATCTTGAGCTCTATCTAGGTCAAAGGATCTTTTGGAATAGAAATAAAATTCGCTTGAGATGGTTTACAAGAACAAAAAGTAGGTTTGTGGGAGAGGATTACTTATAAGGGTTCACAGTATCTCCAAATACCAGCTGCCAAAGTGGGGAGGGCAGCTGCTTTGTCTTCAGTGTAAGGTACATGGCATGGGGTATGTGACAAGTGCTGAGACATGAGACTGAAAACATGGATTAGGAGCAGCTGCACAAACCTAAGGCTTGCTGCTAAGGCATCTGACCTACAGACATGAGACTTTGAAGCAAGTAAATTATATAAGCAGATTTATGTTTTTAGCCTGTGCCCTGATTGGAAAATTGCTGAGAATGAGCAAGGGGTCCTTTTAAGGCTGGAGAACCCTCTTAGAAATGATGTGAAAGGGCCATGAATGCCTCTGATTTGGAGAAGGAGGGGATAAAGAAAGTAAGGATGATGAACTAAACAGTAAGCAGTATTGCTAAGAGCCCTCATTGTGGACTCAAATCTACATCCACTATTTATTAGATGGGTGCTTATGTAAGCTTTAACATCTTTATGCTTGTTTATCCTAAAGTAATTTATTGCAAAGACTTTGTGAGGATTAAAAATAATAAATATTAGCTGCCTAGAATATTGCCTGGGACCTTGTAATAAATGAGTGGATTACAATCTTTAACTGGTGCTGCTATGAACCATATAAGACTAGAGAAGGAAAACAAAATTTGGCAGGAGAATTTGTTTCATTCATGTTATGTTTAAAGCCAAACTGTCTAGTTCACCTTTATAAGAAACTGATTATCGGCCTCTGGAGAGGGAGACGGAGGTCTGGGTAGGAGAGAGATCCCCTCTTTATTTACTATCTATTAAAAATAGAATAATGAAACAAATTTAGACCTTACTACCCTGGAGCTGAATAAAAAGGTAAGTCCTGGAAATAATTTTGGAGTCAACAGGCCACAGTCTGAACATGAATCACAGGGAATGGATGAGAGTAGACAGAATATGTTGAGGCAGAAGAGGATCTAAGGCTCCAGGTGATTATTTCTGAGAAACATCTCTGTATTAATCTTGACCCTATACTCATCATTTTCCCTACACCTATATCTGATCAGTAACCAAATTCTATTATCTCCTTCTTTCACAGTGTTTCTAATAGTTCTTCCTTGCTACCAGCCACACTTAGGCATTTATTATTTCAAGTCTAGACAATTGTAGTAGACTCCTGACTACTGATCTGCCTCTCTCTCTTCTTTCCCTGTCCATTTAATTCCTGCTGAACTTGCTGTCAGAGTCTCCTTCTTATGGAACTACAATAATTATATTACTTTTCTACTGAAAGCAAAAATAAACACAACCCCACTAGATACTTAAGACTCCTCAGCATGGCCTTCAAGCCTTTTAACTTGAAATTCTAGTCTGAAAAGTGTCCTTTTCCAGTGTTTCTTAATGGTACTTAGTGCTCTGACAAAAATTACCCCATCCCAAATTGACCTATTTTACCTAAGTTTGCATGTTCTTTCCTTTCTGGTTTGATTTCTCTTCCTCCCCACTCTGCATTATGAAAAGTTGAACTTTAGGATTAGCTCAATTGCTTATTCTTATCTGAGACTATCCTCATCTCACCAGCACTAGGAGATGCACCTCCATGTTTTTCTACTCTAAGAGCATTTGTCACATGCTGCACAAACTGCAATTGTCTCTGTACCTTCTTATTATGCCCATTCACTGAAGAACTCTTTGAAGGAGGGCCTGCTTTTATTATCTCATCTCCTAGGGCATCTTCAAATCCAGGTGCAATGCCTCATTGTGTAAAACCCACATGTGTCCATCTTCCTGTCATTGTAAGCAGTATCTGTTGACATTTAGTAGTCATATGAGGGGAAGAGGAATAAGGCCCAAACAGCAAGAAATGAAAACAGAAATGGAATTACTCATATGTCTACTCCCACTTAGAATCAGATTGATGGAGTCATTTTCTAGTTCTGTTTGAAATAGAAATCTGGCCTTGGAAGAAAGTTTCTATTGATTTTGTTTTCCAAGTAGTGGCCATGTGTTTAAACAATTTGCATAATGCCAAATGATGTGGAAATTAAAATGTCTATTTAAAGACAAATATACAAGGTTATGGTTTAGATTTATTTTAATCAATGATTGTCTGCATTTTATATTGCAGTCAGCAATAAATAATGATTCTGTAGTACTCAGAGTTGGTTTCTTTATCTCATCTTTTAATAATTTTAATGTAATGTACTTTGACTAATCTAGAATACAATATTCTATACAGTCTATGTTGGAAACAACTAACATAGTGGAAAGTGACAATGGCAAAAAGTACTTGGATGTTTTCAGTAAAAATCATCAGAATGTATTCACAGTATTCACAAAGTTCGTGGTCATTTAGTCATCTAACAAAAATTATGCAACTTTGGAAAATATGAAACTAAGTGATAAAAGTTTGTTTTAGTTCAATGATTTTTATTCACTTAAGTTGTATTTTATTTCTACAGATAATTTCTGACCCTCGACTTCGCTTTGAGTTAGCACTTCGTGAAGCTGGACTTCATAAAACATTGCACGCCAAAGAGGTCTTACCAAAAATCAGTCCTCAGAAACCTCCAAGAAGGGACATGGAATCTACTATATTTAAAATATAGAACTCATACTCAAATTCTGTTATATGTGTATAATATTTTTCTTTGAGAACATTTGTACGAATAACAATAATTACCACTTTCTAAAATTTTTAAAAATATCAGACACAGGAATCAGCTTCTATTAAAACAACTTTGCCTTTCTTTTATAGCTCTTAGAATTCTACAGTTTCCTGTATCTTTAAGTTACATTTAATAGTACTAAATTCCCCAAGATTATGGAGCTTAATTATGGCACATAACATCCACACTGTTGTCCAAGAGATCACACTACCATTTAAATAAACTGTATTTTGGAGGTTGGGTTATCCAATGAAAAGAACTCAAAATAACCATTTGTGAGAATTATAAATAATGAAGCTGCTACCTGCTAATGTTCATTTCTGCTCGTTACTTCAGAATCTGACTTTTTAATTATGGAAGCTTCATTATCATTAATACTTCTATTATTTCTTGATTATTATAAGAGGAGATTCAACCTTTCTCTAAATTTAGAAACCAATTTGGTACACCATGTTTACTGCAAGCCAATCATCCAAACAATTTCATTTTGCAAATTAGCCCTTAAGAATAAATTAGAAATTAAAATAGCATTTCAAGCATGGGAATACCTCTTTTGGCTTGGAGAAAAAAAAATTGTCATTATTTAGAAAGAATACATTAAAAATTATGATCTTGGAATGCTGTCAGAGTTCCAAATTATCTAGTAAATATCTAGATGGCTTTATAGAAAGGAAGCATTTCAAATAAAACTCAGCATAAAATTTTGACTATTTCTAAAATGTAGTTATTCCATCAAGCAAGTCAGTGTTGTTAAAAGTTGCTATTGCTGTCTTCAGAAGACTGCTCATGTTTTTCCCTCTGTCAAAGCTTCCTGCTATTTCCCAGGCACCTCAAGCCCAGGAGTTTACAATCTCTAGTGAGTTACTAGAATAACATAAAATGAAACAAAATCCAGTCTTACTAGTGGAATCTTTTTCTTCATGATTGTCCCCAGCATCATGAGAATAAATGAATAAGTAAAAAAAGTGTAGCTTGTCAGACTAAACCTTCACAAGAGATTATATGGGAAAAATTTTTACCTACAATCCAAAATTCATTCTAATACCCTCTCAGTCTAATCTTTTGCATCAGAGTAACTGCTTATAAAAGAGGGGTCTTTAACAAGAAGCAGAGAGTAGTGGGCTTTGGTGCTTATGTTAAGGGTATCTCTCAAGGTCAGAGTATGCTTTCATGGGCCTCAGACCGTATGTTCATAGATGCCCTGCTGGAGCAGAGCATATCCTTTTCAAGGGCAAGCAGAGTCCATGGATCCTTGCCAACATTAATGTCCATACTGTTGTTCAAGGGATCACTCTCAAATTCCAAGTAAATAGCATTTTTACACTTTCTCAACAAGGAAGAATAAGTAGCTGGAGGCATCACTATCATTTTGAGAGAAGTAAAGAAGTGATATGCTGTGAGTTTCATGAAACCTGAGCTGAGATATGGGCAGCAGTTTATCAACTGACTACACCCAGACTCAGACCCTAATAATTTTCTTTCCATTTAAAAAATAATATTAATAACAGTTTACCACTCACTGAGCACACACAGTATGCTCATCACCAATATGTGCTTCCCACGTGATATCTTATTTGCTCATCATAATGACAATATGAAATTGTCATCTCGATTTTATAGATAAGGAAATAGATTCAGAAAGATAAAATAATATGCTCTAGATCTGTTGTTTTCAAAATAAGACATTAGTTTAGTGAATCCTGACCGGCATTTTAAAAAAGAAACAAAATACACTACTCTGAAATCCAAATGGCTAATAAATATATGAGAACATAGAAATCCTCATTAACTTCTCCCATAAAATACCAATATACACCCACCAGACTGGCAACTCAACAAATATCATAATGTCCAGAATAGTGATGACACATGAGAACAGGAATCATCCCCTGGTGTGCAATGGAAAAGTTCAAACCTACCTAGTAAGGTTGAAAGTGTTCATGCCCTTTGATCTTGGAACTACTCCTAGATCTACACACCTGAGAAGCTCCTGGAGATATGTGCAAGGACACATAAAGTGCAATTGCCAGACAAAAACAAGCCAAACAAGTTCAGCCACAAGAGAATGTATATAAAGATTGTGTTATATTCACGTATGGAGTTGCATATAGCAATGAAAAATTTTAAAAAACCTATCAACATGTATATAATATTTAGTGAAAGGTACCAGGTGCAAAAGCACACCTATTATGTTTCATTCCATTTACATAAAGTACAAAAACATACCAAAGTAATCTACATTGTTTAGGATCATGCATAAGTTGTGAAATAATTGATAAAAACAAGATAATTATTTAATTAAAGTCAAGAAAATGATTATCTCTGGGGTATAGAGAGATGGGGTGAAGATTTTCAAGTTCCTGAAAATGCTTTATAGCTTAGCCAGGTAGTGATTATATATGTTTCTAATCATTTTTAAAGTTAACATAATTGTTTTCTATACTATTATATATCAGTAGTATTGATTCTCAATAAAATTAAAAAACATTAAGAAAACAGATTCTTAAAATCATAATTTCTTAGTATATAAGTGCATTGGGAAGAATCTTTTTAGTTAGTTTCTGATTTAATAGCCCTAATTTGAATGAATTTCGGAAGTAGGCAGACTTGTCCCTACTTGAGATTCATGAGTGCCCTAACATGTGATAGGATCCACTTTGTTTACTCCCTCCCCAATCCTGTACTCCAATTCAGTTGGCTCTTGCCTATCTAGTTTACCTGATTGAACTGGAAAAGAAAGAAAAGAATGTATACTTGAAAGGGCTAATTATTGTGCCTTAAAATGTGATGTCCATACGTCCATTATCCTTGTGAGTGTGTGTATGTGTGTGTGTGTGTGTGTGTATGAAGTGAGTCATAACAAAATGTATTTCTTAGTGAGTAATAGTCTAAAATTATTGAAAAAACACTACCCTCAATCCTATGGTTAATAAATTGTATAGCCTGATTCAACTCCCACTGATTCTACCATCCATCTCTGAGGATGGTAGGCTTGTTTCAAACTGAAAGGAAAGAAGGTATCAGGTCTGGTAGGAATTCCTCTCCCTGTCCATCACAAATCCACAGATTCACCTAAGACCCTATTTCCCTTTTGTTTCCTCTACCAGAGGGAACATCCCTTCCTCTACCAGAGACCATTGCTTCCATGTATGTTGTGTTTTCTGCTGCCTTAACTCCTCTACAAGAATTTCTCTTTTTTATTTATTCTTTTTCTTATATCTTTAAGCTTTCCCTCAGCACACAAATACATTGGTGTAAATCTTAACTTTTAAATGAATCCCTATTTTAAAATAAATCTTCCTTAAGCCCACATTGTTCCAACTACCCCACTATTTCTCTGCTCCTCTTCTTGAGAAGCTTCTTGGAAGAGTTGCGTGTAGATGTTTGATGTCTCCTCTTCTCATCTTTAGTCAGTCACTTACTCTGATTTAGCTTTGCCCTCATCCTCCACTGCCACCAGTCTTAGGTCACCATATTGCCAAACTCCATATTGGCAAATAATGGCCACTTTTCAGTCTGCATCATACTGAGTTCATGAAAGCGTTTCATTCAGGTGACAACCATCTCTGGACACTCTCTTCTCTTGAACTGTGTGATGCCACCTGCTTTGCTCCTGCTTCTTTAGGCACACCTCCATCTCCTTGGCTGACTCTTCCCCATCGGTCCATCTCTACATGTGGAAGTGCTCCAGGGTGAGATTCATTAGCTCTATCTCTATTGTTGTCACCCAAGGGAACATAGGTCTTTTGAGTAATTTTTAATCTACAGGCTTGCCCTCTATTCTTTTTTTACCCCTTGCAACTTATTTATTGAAGCAGCAAATATATTTTCATGTAGAATTTCCCCTGCTAGATTTTGTCCATTTTATCTTTTTGGTATAGTTTAACATGTTCCTCCATCCTTCCTGTCCTTTGCCTATAAATTGTTAGTTGAGTCTACAGGTTTATCAGATAAAAAAATTCAGATCCTTGCTTCTTTTTCTCCCCAAGATCACTTCATTGTAGTGTTGTGTTCTTCTATATACATTTTCTCTTTGAATCTCTTTTTGAATGTTTCTCAATGCTTATACCTATTTCTTGTTTATGTATCACATGATAAAAATTCTCTAATCACTCCTTCATTTATTAGTTGAGAAGCTTACATGAAGAAAATTAAAAAAAAAAAACAAATTTAAAATAAGAAAAAAATGTCCTCGTATTTGCTAGTATAAAAGAGGTAGATAAAGTGTTTATGTTTTCTTTTAACAAAATAGTAAGTTAGTTTTCTGATATTCTCTCAAGGTGACCAATTTTGTTGTGTCTTTGTAAAGTTAAGGATTGATATGTATTTGATCTTTTAATCTACCAAAATGTTATTCTTATTGATTCTCAAATTATCCCCTTATTGCCCAATAGCTCAGGATTTCTATTAAGACAACCTAAAAGACTGGATAACTTCCTTGCTATCCAGTCGCTTATTGCTGTATAAGAAAACTTAGTGATTCACAACTATAATTGTTTTTATTATCTCTCATGATTCTATGGACCCAATGGGATAGTTCTGGTTTGGGGTCTATATTAATTCCCTACACTACTATTGCAAATTACCACAAAGTTAAAGGTTTAAACAATTCAATTTTATTATCTTGGAGTATCAGAAATGAGTCTCACTGGGTTAAAACTGAGGTGTTGGCAGGCCTATGTTCTTTTCTGGAGGCTCCAGAGGAGAATCTGTTTCTTTGCCTTCTCTTGTTTCTAGAATCCTCTCATAGTTCTTAGATCAGGGACCTCTTTGTCTTCAAAACCAGCGAGGCAGCTCCAGTCTTTTTCACATTCCATCACTCCTTACTCCTTTTCTGCCTCCTCTTTATTGATAAGCATTCTTGATGACCTGAGTTCTCATTGACAGCTCAGGACAATCTCCCTACTTTAAGGTCAGGTGATTTGTAACCTTAATACCCTTTGCCATGTACAGG